GCCAAGAAATTAAATTTGATAGGGCTCACATTTGTTAACAACCTGTTTAAATGTGAAGACAAAGGCTCTCTAAATATTCATAGGGGCAGGTGTCTCCTTCACACCGGGTATGATGACTATTTAAAGGTGAATGATTTGGGGTACGTGCACCCCTCCCCACTAAATGGCAACAAAATGAGAGAGAAAGAGGAAGAGAGAGAGAGAGAGAGAGAGAGAATGAGAGTATGTGAAACAATTAAATGTGGCGGGCTCCTCCTTCGCTCCTATATGCCCCCTGCTCTAAAACTAGCTGGGTGCCCCTTCTAGTTACAAGCAACGACTTTTTAAAATTTGGTGCATGGGGGAAGCCCTTTTCTTACAAAAATAATAAACAATATTGTTTAGAGAATATCTAACAAAACACAGCATTGAACAGTCATTTTGGACAAGCTTGATAGGCGGGAATTACAGGATTACAATATCCGTTATTTCTATACAAACTATTGGCTACATCTTCTCCACCTTTCCGAGAGTTTCATGTGTTTATCTTTCAACGACTCTTCATAACCGAGACGGAACGACGGAGGTTATTTCAATAGATCTGACAGACAAAGTCTGTGTGGTTCGTCTAACAAGTTTATTGCAGCATCTAAACTTGACGATGACCTTCCGGTCAGCGGACTATGGTGTCTGATAATCTTTGCCCCCCCCCCCCCGTACCCCTCCCCCATATAATACTTTGATATAATATTTTCTTTCCTTCAGCCATACGCATATGTTTGGTATTCACCATCGTCTTCAAAATAATATGTTTCTATACTGTCTATACTCAGAAAAGAAATCTACATGCTACCACGTAAACAATCGAGGGACTCGAACCAAGGAACCATCCAATGGACCGGACCTGGTCGTCTGTTCCCTGAATTATGCTCTTTCCACTCATTATGAGCCACGGCACCCCTTTAAACATCCAATGGACAAAGTCATCATTGTATATAGATCCATGATTAAAGCAAGCGACCCAAAATAACCGAATGTAAAGAAGCATACGTTTCCCGCGCTTCCTACAGTTATCCACATCCGTCTGATCCGCCTGTTTTCCTTTGCCCACGTGTTTATCCCCTCCACCCCCGCCCCCCCCCCCCCACATCAACCAAAATGGGCTAGCAACAAGAGAACCCTCTTATGCTTGCATGATCATTGACAGTTGGCATGGCTACAATATATTACCACTGGGGGTGTGTCAGAAAGATCGGGGCTTTTAATATAAAACCACGTGAAAGAGAGTGCAAAGAGAGGACAGCCAATACCAACATGACATTGTATCAAGGATACAAATATGGTTTTCATTTGCTTCATGATGACACGAACATTCGTGAACATGAAACGTTGACTTTTCGTCAACATTCATGATATTCTTGATAATTTAGGTCACGTACGAATTTAGTGTCGTTAATACCGGTACGATTAACTTATTTTCTCATCATATTTTCACTGAATTATACATTAATTTTTTTTCTTTTTCAACAGACTTAAGACGTTTTGTCACTAGGGATACAAATATGGTTTTCATTGCTTCTATGATGACACGAACATTCGTGAACATGGAATGTTGACTTTTTGTCAACATTCATGATCTTCGTGATATTTTAGGTCACGTACGAATATAGTGTCGGTAATACCGGTATGATTAACTTATTTTTCCATCATATTTCACTGAATTATGCTTTAAACTTTTTTTTTCTTTTTCAACAGACTTAAGACATTTTTCATCCTTGCTCTTTTAGAGCGCTGCTAAATTAAAAGTCCCAAAATAAACATGATTCCAAGAAAATGAGTTTCATGTATTAAACACTCAAATCTGAAATTTGTGATTGGTCATGACTCTGTTCGAGTTCCAGATAAAATTTGGCTCGCAGTTTCCAACCACATTGCTGTGCAACAAACTTGCCAAAGTATGTAATCCCGTTTCCAAATATGGAGTTCGATGCTTAAAATAGATGGAATCGCGAGACAATAAACTCACAGAATTCGTCTAACATCAAGACTCATCACAAGCAGTATTAAAGGATGACAAATTCAATCAAACTTCGTCCCTTGGAAAATAAGTGGTTCGGTAGGTTTGAGAGAGCATATTTTCATAAATTTTAAGACCAACTTTTAACTGAAAATGCAAAAAGACATGCAGATGCATAGAGAATAAAATCAGCTTCCAAACGGGTTTTGGTTTAGAACAGACATATTTCTACGTCACATACCCAGACAGTTAATGGATTAATAACAAACCCTGAACTTTGCTAAACCAGTTTACATGATCTAATTTTGTGTGATGTTGAAGGTTTCTATAGCTTCAAGAGGAACTTGTTCAATGTTAATGATTACCTGTCTGATGCCTCATTCATGCACACAGATGAACTTCGTCAAATCCCCATCCCGTCCTCATCCATCTCATTTCAAGAAGAAAAAAAGTCTTAAGGATTTTCATGCGGAAAGTTTAGATATTCAAGTGATTTCGTTGAGGGGGAGGTTTTTACAGATGCGCTATCAAGATCTTGCAAGTAGTACCTTACAATTTGCAAATAAATAAATATTATCGAAAATTAATCAGTATCGATTGTAAGTTTTTAAACTCTAAAGAAAATACTGTAGATGTAATTTGTAAAACGTGAAAAGTATTTGCAACTGACGCATTTATGCCATTCTTACATCTGGAGAAACAATGAAGATAATAATAGGAATAGTACCACACGACGTGACAAAGTACCTCAACTTCAAGTCAAATGTTTTGCAGTCGAAGCTATACATGCCAGCATGGCGATTTTGATTTAGTCAAAAGGGCATCAAGTTGGTCATCATTTTGTCTTGAGGACCTGTACTCTGGAGAGGGAGGAACATGTGCATCTCATCATGTCATCTCGGTATTTCAGGAAACCATTCTGGCCTCCTCTCATCCGTTGCGATTTTGCATTGGGTCATTGATGGAAGTCATGTCACGTGACCCCCTACTGTCCTTTTGCTATTTGGTATGTTCGATAAAATGCCCTTAACCCCTTTACACTATTGGTGCCAGGTGATAGCGTCTGGTCTGTTATTTCTCTCTTCGTTTCTGCATGCTCAAAAGTATGCTTGCACATTGTATTCATTGACATCATTTATGTATATATATATAGAGAGAGAGAGAGAGAGAGAGAGGGAGAGAGAGAGAGAGAGAGGGAGAGAGAGAGAGAGAGAGGAGAGAGAGAGAGAGAGAGAGAAAGAGAGAAAGAGAGAGAGAGAGAGAGAAAGAAAAAAAACAATACCGTCGTCTTTATCTACTAGCTCCTTCTCTCAAAAGCTTTTACAGGATAATATGGTTTTAGTTTTCCATTTACAGTTCTTCTCATGGGTCCTGCAATTATCACTATCCCCAATAACGACTGGTACCAATTAATACACCTATATGTCTAAAGGGACAAATGTTGGTAAATACCTTGTCCCAGGATATAAGGACCCCTCGAATGAGAGTTAAGGGTCTTCACCAGTATACCACAGTATGTTAAGCTTTGTTCCGAATTATCATTTATTAAAAAAACCACGGTCTACGAGCGAATATAACTAAATATATTACTTTGTAGACGGAAGTCTGAAAAGTTGGTATGAACTAAACAATGTATGAACTAAACAAAAGGTGAACGAAACATAATATCATTCCATTCATACGGATAAGTATATTCGTGGCATCTCCACATGGGAGGCACGTCCATGCCCTACAGGAAATTCCTTTTGATTAAACGATTAACTTTTAAGATCCTCCTTCAAGTCTTGTAGATATTCGTAGTATTTCCATAGCTTGGAACAAAGATGTAAAACAGCACACTATAACTTCCATTATATTCCATAAGCATGCATTCAAGGTGTCAGACTGTCAGTGGGACCCCATTCTCCAATCCCGACCCATTTATTCTACCCTAACGACAGGTGGTGGGTAGCCGATACGGTAGAACACAAGGATGACGTGGGCCTGAAACCATCCCATCAATTGACACAACGTCTTTAACCCCGATGTTCAACAATCTTGACTTTTTCTCCCACTTCTTGTTTTGCCAGAAGGTCGGAAGTTGAAGCTCTTTCATTCCTCGTTCTGATCCCAAGCCTTCAGTTTCCCGAGAGGTGAGATATGAATTGACCGAGCATTTAAGGAAATATTTCTTTCTGCTGGTACACTAATCTTCGAACAAACATAACTTACGCATCTTGTGTTCGTAGTGACCAAATAGCCCCCCTCCCCCCACCCCCACCCTTAGTGGAAACATAATTGCCTCATCCGTTGTGCATTGTAGTCATTCGGTATTACATAAGTGATATTGTAGTAACAGTTGCATATGATTACAGCACCATGTAAAACAAAGAATATGTACATCACAGGTATTTATTGAGGCATTAACTATGTACAAATCCTTATTATTTATTACATTCTCCTCTTTCTTTTAAAGAAATATAGGGGCGAATTACTCTTAATTAGACATCACTTCAACTTTTGGAAGTAAACAGCCATTCAGAAAATAATACTCCTAACAATATTATCTGAGTAGAAAATTAAAAGAAATAAACCCGAGCTTTTCATGATGTCAATAAGAGTTGTTGATGACACATATTTTGTTATCTTCCCTCTTTACGCGGTTCCTCTCAATACACACATATCTCATTATATAAACACCAAGGAATAAAATGGCCTAGAGATGCATTGCCAAGGCCATATCATTTCCATGTATGTATATCAAGGGAAAATACTGTTATACATTGTCACAATGACACGAGGATGTAATTAAAGTTTCTTTCATCCTTTTTTAATAAGAAGGTGACTTGGCTGTATTCGACAAAGGAAATCGATACCCCACTTCCCCTTCGCAACGTTTCTATTGATGTCCATTAAATCACGCAGGAAATAAATCCTTACGTTTCACGAGCGATTACGTATGTAGGACTATTTATTATCAAAGGCTTAGAACAGGCTCTAAATAGAAAATACCAGCAACACTCACCAAAAATGATACAAATCCTTTATGAAATTCAATAGTCTTCTGATTTGATATAAAATTCCAGGTCCAACGAAACAAATTTACACTGATGAGCGAAAAGAAACACCGTTGATTAAGGCTAGTTATTCCAAATTTCTGAAACGTCAAACACAGACCGCAGAAAATGCACAGAATGGTCAAATATTGTATTCTTCCAAGAGTAAAAGAATTGTAGTATATACAATCATATATGTTCCCCCTCAGAATCCGATGTTCCGTTCCTTAGCTGCAAGTTTCGATGGATCCTTCTTGCATAAAAATGATATGCAGTATTAATGTTCAAGAATCATGTTCTTCCAAAGACCTGACCCAGTTAGTTGACTGGTAGATGCGGTATGTGTATATACCTTACAAAAATACCGTAATGTACTCGGAGAAACTTGACATTGAGTCTCCACATGGGCCGATCGATGGAGCTTCATTAATTAGACCCTGCATTCGGCATACACACTCACACCGTAGAGAGGAGCAAGACATTGGGGAACACGATCAACCAATCCCGTCACAGTACACCGCACTTGGGAAACTTTTATGAGACATGGGCGTGGCTACAGACCCGAAGTTTACTCAGCTGGCCAATCAGAGTGGATGGTACTGAGCATGCGCCATATAGACGCCGCCGTACGTTTACCGTTTCAGTCAATGAGATTCTTGACGCGATAACTCACACAATAATCTCAAGTTTCCAACGTATACACGAACGACTGTAGTATAAAAGTTTTTAACAGAGCGATCGTTGCTAATATGTTTTGGGCTAACTTACCTTAGCTTTATGTGTTTTTATTTTGTTTTGAGGAATTACATTAATTCGAATTGCATTCCTTGAAGGTGCCATACCTTTCAATAATATTGTGTTAATACTTTCTGATATAAGTAATCATTATCGTACCTTTCTAACTTTTTATTTCGCTATGGCTGCCAGGCTAATCATGCTGATGTGTATGTCGCAGTTATATACCGTTCATTTTTATTCGACCAGCAATTTTCTTAACACAAGTACAAGTCAACTTTATGCCTATCGTTAATATCATTATACAATTCTGAAAATGATTGTTGGCTGGTATATTTTATAAGTAACGATAACTTATTTATGGGGACACAGCCGTATAAACTAAAATCATGGCTCCTTACTCTTTGGAGGGGTATATCGTCAATTATTCGTACAAAATAGTAGGAAAGACAATTTCTTATCAACTTATTTTGTTTTGATACAGTAATTCAAATGCTTATATTGTTAGGAAGGCAAGATGTTGACGGTTTTCAAAATCTGATTGATTGTTCCAGTTATCTTTCTTAAAGGTATTAATAGAAATAAATTCTACTTCTAGTCCATCCTGTTATTTAGTATCATACATCATCCATTACATATTACTAGGAAAACGTTACCCGCTCTGTGACCTAACTCTTTGCTTTAATAAATGCATGCACAACCCAAATAGCCACAAGTATTTTTGCCTGGGAACGGCCAAGTTGAATATATCTGTAATGATTTTTCCATCTGTCATAAAGCCCCCAGGCTGTTTAATGGCAGAGAGTCTTTCGGGACCCTTGCGTATTTGGGGCTTTGGTTATTATCATAACCATATTCAGACAGGCCATCGAATCTACGCAACAGAGAGATAACTGTAAGGTGACATAAACTCGACCTATTTCGTCTTCGACTCAGTAACTGTATTCATTCTGTGTGCATGTACATGGAAGGTATATTGGTGACGTTCTCTGAAGGTCTGTCTTGTCCAGATGTGGCCGCTGCGGTTAACCGCCGCAAAAAAAAGCCGCTGCGGTTTTTTTTTAACGTGGTAAATGAAAGGCAACTGCGCGCAACAAAGAACTTCTTAAATTCTTAATATCAGTTTAGTATTTTCATAATACTTCATCTGTTTTGGAAATGTATGAACATGGAGCTATTGATGTTGTATTTTATATTCCATTCCATTTCCATATTCAGACATTAGGTTTGAAAGTACAAATTTCAGGATTGCAAAAGTAGCTTTTTACTTTTGAATCCATATGACAAGTGTTTATATCGATGAAGCTATACGTTTGAAATAGTAAAACAAAATAAGGATGGTATCTATAGCCTATAGCTAAAAAGTACGTAAAATTCCTTCCAATGATCGAACTCAATCATTATTTGACCCAATAATCGAAAAAGAATTAATGTTGTCTTCTCAGAGATAATTTCTATATTGTTGTCAGAGTCTCATTTGGTTTCTCAAAACAAATAAACAAACGAACAAACCAAACAGTCAAAATGGTGCTCATGAAACCAAGAATACAAATACTTATTTTGGCAATAACCAATAAAACATCAGGAAACATAAAAAGTAATTGGTTTTCATCTTTAGAGTTCCCAAGGGATGTTCATTTCTAGGATTAAAATAATTTCTGAAATCATTAGCCATTACACTTTTTGTAAAATACATTATTTGGTATTATCAGAACAAGCACATTAAATTCAAGCCTAATCTCCGCTCCCATTCTTTTGTCTTCCTACATTTCACTTAAATACCCATTCCTCACTCTTCGCTCATAGCTTGAATCTTTTAACTACTCCTCCGCACACCAACGTACATAGTACGTGCCAGGTCACCTTTTTTTACTGGAAGGGAAAGGGGGCTTGCGGGATTGGATATGGGATTTGTAAGTCAGTGGGATTAAATGGGGGCTATTTTAAGCCTCGGGAGTCTCAGAGAGCGGGTCGACACGGGTTCAAGCCTCTAGCCGCGAAACCACGGATGCATACCGCCATATCATTTTTAGCTTTATGTCTGTTTGATCATTTCCTTCCCTTTTTCCTGTATCACTTATATGACGTATTTCTTCGATCGATAAGTTTTGCTTTGCATTAATTTTGATCAACGCAAAAGTGCGCAAACCTTCAAATATGACGATATCGCGTTTGTTCGGTGTATATAGCAACCAATTATAATGATACAATTCAAGATGAAAACTACTGTCCCACCCCAGCGACATTATATTTTCAAATTATTATATTCTCTCAAGGGATATGTGGCGATAAATTAATCAGTGTATGTGGCAGGAAGCCATAGTAACCATTTCTTGTTGATAAGTTCGTAAAATGGGTATTATGATCCTAGGTCTAGCCCACGCTAGAATTAGGTTTGAACGGAAAAACAAAAACACGTCAACATGAGTGCCAATTTGAAGAAATGACAGTGATATCATAAAGATATTAATGAAGTAACCGGAAAGAATAAGTCGAGATGCCATCATAATATCAACAGTTCAACACCATCTAGGTCAACGAATCTCGAACTTAGGCCTATATGGGCAAAAGGCAATTTCAGTTGTCTGTGCCAATGACTATATCATAGAAAATCTCAACAGATTTTAAATAACATTAATACAGATGCCACACGAATAGGGAAGAAATTCATGTGATGAATTATTTAAAAAAAAATCTTACTTTAATATTCGATGACAGATTTGTGTTCCATCTCATTCCTCTCTCTCTCTCTCCCTCTCTCTCCGTCACCTATCTACTTGTTTTGTCTGTCTCTCCCTCATTCTCTCTCCTCTTTTCTTCTCTCTATTTCTTTATCTCTCTCTCTCTCTTACCCACTTTCTCATTCCTTCTCTCCTCCGCTCCCTCCCCCACTCGTCAAGCCCCCTCTCTCTATTTACCTGTCTGTATGTCTATGTCTATCTCTCTCCCTCTCTGCCTCCTCCCACTCTTTCAACCTTCTCTCCGTGTTTTCTCTCTCTCTCTCTCTCTTTCTCCCCACCCTTCACTCCTTTAGACTTAAAAAAAATAAATATTACATGTAATGGGTTGACTCAATGCTAGATTAGATGCTCTTTCAATAGGTTAAATGGATGCCGCTCATAATATGCATAACACAGGTTACTGCACAATACTGCTATCACAACCTTCCGTCATGCAATAACCTAATCCAACCATGGCAGTGGCGGATCTAGGGAGGGGGGGGGGGGGGCAAAGGGGGCACGTGCCCCTCCCAGCCCAAAAAAATAAAACAAATTGGGCCCCCCTCTAAGAAATCCTGGATCCGCGCCTGCATGGGTCCATGATCCAACCAAATCCAACTTTCCTGATCAAAGACGCATTAGATACAGTACCTTCGAGGTGTGTGACGGGTAATTTAGGAACGAGATGGAAGTCGTTTAAGATTCTTTGATATCGAGCCCGGTGTGAAAAAAGGTACTTATTACTTCTTCTTCTTTTCTGTCTTATCCTCCTCCTCCCTCCATCTTCCCTTTCTCCTTCCGTTTTACTTTCCTTCTTTCTTCTTCTTCTTCTTCTTCCTTCAGCCTTGAAGTTTTGCATCGAATCAGAAATGTATTAATGTCACATAATCCCTCGCACATAGTTATTACAGTAAACAACAAATATGAATTTTCTTAAAATTACACTGTTGCATTTTTAAAAAGTGAACGATTTAAAAGATAATGTTTCCCCGTCATTTACGATGGCGTGGGTTATCTTGATATCTTAACTGATACGTAATATGAAGCATGATGGTATGTCAATTATACAGTTAGGAGTGTTCTTACCTCTGAGGTTTAGGAAAGAACATTGTTGCGGCCTACGCTCTGCCCACTATATCAATGATCATGTTTCCGTCATCATGTTAATAAGTCATTATTACCAAAGACATCATTCAGCATATAAATCTTCCACGTCTCATATCAAACCATTATATACATACTTGTATGTTCCCTTTTTCTGTGATTTCAATATGGTACAACTTGTCAATTGACATCGTCGATACAATGGATGATATAAGCGGCAGCCTAGTGTTATGATACCGGTAACCTATACCAATTAACAAAAAACATTACTTATCATTGGATTTTGCGTCATGATAGTTCAACGATTTTATTAGGACAATATAAAACAACTCAAGTACACACACAAAATTGTACTATTTCATTGACTGAACAATCGCTTTAATATTTCTGCTACTCCAACCATTAGGTGTAAATACGATGTCCAAAAGGCATCTTTAGTGAACCCATCCTGATAATATGAAGAAGATAGGAAGGAATACCCCTTGGTATGGCGGCCAAATACTACTATCTTGTCGGCCTGACAAACTAGGGTTTATTTTGAAGTATTTTGATTGACATCACACATGGTAGACGGACTTTCGGAAGACTTAGGATGTCTTCGATGCGACCCATCCTCAGGTCAATGTTATCTGAGCTGATCTTAAAGGGATCCGGTAACTTTGTCTCAGATTCTGAAAACATATTCTGGATTTAGCTCATGATGCAATGATAATTATAAACCTTTAGGTCAGTCAGGAACCCCGTGACTTTTACAAGCCGATCGCTTGTCTGATTATCAAGATATTTATGATTGGAATTACAAATTTTGAAAACCGTTCGCCTGACGGTTTTCATAACACTACAGTCTATTGGGGAAAACGAGTATGGTAAAACCGGTC